GGACGCTGTGCCTGCGCTAACCCCGCGGCTCGGGTTCACGGGGCCGCCTGGCCCCAAACTTCTCCATCCGTGCTGCTTGTAGGGATCGAGCTGCGAGCGAACCGAAGCTGCCCAAGCTGTCCGTGGTTTCTCTGCCTGGGCTTAGCCAGGGTAGGGAATTCACACCGACGAGCTACTGTGGCAGACTAGAGCCTGTTTTGCTCAGCGGATCCTGGACTCAAACTCTTAAACAGCCTTTTCTGTAGCTCCTCCTTGTGCGGGCTGTGTTTTCCCTGCCCGTTTCTAGAGCTTTGATAGAAATCCATGGAGATTTTGCTAAGCTGCTCTCTTCTGTGTCGTCCATCTGTCCCCCAGTGTTTAACACGGTTTATAACAGCGACGACAACGTGTTCGTGGGTGCCCCCACGGGAAGCGGGAAGACCATTTGTGCCGAATTCGCCATCCTGAGGATGTTGCTCCAGAACTCGGAGGGACGCTGCGTCTACATCACCCCCATGGAGGCCCTGGCAGAGCAGGTAAGCCCGGCATCCTGGGGAGAACTGGAGCTTTACCCCGGCTTGGATTTGCTTCCTCATCCCCTGTTTCACTTTTCCTCGTCCCTTCTTTGCCGTTAACGTCCCTCGGGACGACTCCACAGTCTTTTTGATTAATTGCGGTCTCTCTGAGGGGGCAAAGAGACACCGTCCCGCTGCCGACCTGCTGATGTTGGTGGGTGCACGCGTGTGCCTCCGGGGATTTGGCAGGATTTGTTCTAATTTGAGGTCGACAGCAGCATCCCTTGCATTTTTGGCAGGTCTTCTTGGACTGGTACGAAAAGTTCCAGGAGCGTCTCAATAAGAAGGTGGTCTTGCTGACGGGAGAGACGAGCACAGACCTGAAGCTGCTGGGCAAAGGGAACATCATCATCAGCACCCCTGAGAAATGGGACATCCTCTCGCGACGCTGGAAGCAGCGCAAGAACGTCCAGAACGTCAACCTCTTCATCGTGGACGAAGTGCATCTCATCGGGGGCGAAAATGGGGTGCGTCTGGGAGGGGGAGGAGGAGGGCGCTCCTAATTCGAGTGAGGCTCTTCACCCCGTCGGCCTCAGTCGCGGAGCCGCGGTGGGGGCGGATGGTTGCTCACTCCTAATGTCTGGTCCGAGGTCAGCTTTTCCTGCCGGGAGTTGCCCCAAGCTGCGGGATGGGCTGGGACAGGAGGGCCATATCCTTTGGGGGAAGCTCAGGAGTGGTATCCCCTGGGGTCTCCGTTGGGCGAGGGTGCTTGGGCTGAAAGTGGCCGGAGCCCAGCCAGGAGAG